AAATGTTTTGACACCTAAAACCCCCTAAACACTCAAAACTAAACCCTAATAGAACATAATTAACCCAAACATAAATAACATAAAGAAAAAATAATTTTGAAAAAGTGGCATTTTTGTAAAGATTTTAAAAGTGTGACATTTTTGTAAAGTGGCACTTGAAAAATGACATTTTTTGAAATTTCTTATTTTCCCCATTTGGTATCGACCATGCACTTTTTTAATTATTCGTTTGACATACCACTATTAATTTAAATATAATTTTGAACCAAAATTATATTTTTCTTATTCCGGTATGTTTTAAGTGAATTTTTTTCGGTTTTATATAAGGTTTACATTTTTAATTTTATTAGCCTTTTTTTTACTAAATAAGCTAAAAATTGGCTCTTTTTTTTGTCTTTCATTTGTTAGAACTTAAAAGATAGTTTTTGAAAGAGTAAAAATCATTTATGGTGGAAGCTACAAAACGGAGCCATGGAAAGAAAAGAGAAATTCCGGCCAAACATATGGAGAAAATTGTCAAAAAGTGTTCGTTCATCGAAACTAACCTCTTGTAGTCTTGTATACAATATGAAAAACATCACTTAGTGTGCGAGAGTCACTGATGTTCCCTTAGCCATTATTAGTGATTACTATATTTTTCACTAACCATTAACATTTTATATATTTTGGATATCTTACTATTCGATCGACATCTGAAAAACTAAACGGAATATTTAGAACATGTTTTTGTAATACTTGTAAAACTTTAGATAAATGGTTTATATTCTCATGTCGCTTATTAGCAGCACTTGTTGTCATACAAAAGAAGAATGAGAACAAGTACGAAGCTTCGTATAGCTGATGAGGACACCAATTATATTGGAAGACTTTTGGGGAAACAATTTGGAAAATCCGAAAATATGAGTATTGAAAAGCTAAACATGGTTTTTACAAAAGGTCAGAGATTGAGGCAGGAAATAGGAAGCTTCTTTTTCCTCACTTTAAGACAAAGACATTCATCGAGTCTCCTTATATGGAAATACAAGTTCCATATTCCAAACCATGATATCTATTTTGCATGTCGGATCATTTTTATTTAAATAATTTGTCAATGGATAAAACATTTCGATTCTAGAATCCACGACCAATGAAAATTTGATTTTAGAGACTAATGGATATATGATATATCATAGGCTTATTTTTCTACAACCAATAGGCTTATTTTGAAGTCGTAATTTGTTTAGCCAAAAACAAAAATGATCTTATTTAAATTTAATTTGCATTAAAAATAAATTAATGCCATGTTACTCTTGGCCACGTGGCATAAGGAGAAGGCGTTAATTTAGAAGATGAATCGATCTTTGTACGGAACACCCAAGTTTTCGGTTTAGTCCGGTTTGGTTTAATTTCCTCAATACTTTTGCTTGAAATTTGGGACCATCCCGATGCTACGGTATTGCCACTGGAGATTTCCGCCGTCTCTCGCCGCCGCAAGGATGCTCTCACCACCACCACGACCTCACTCTCAGACTCCTTTCTCCGGGAGCGTCAGGAATTCGAGCTCAATCGATGGAAACTCCAAACCCGAGTTACGATTTCCTCAATCCAATCCTCAGAATCTCTCTTCCTCTCCTTCTTCTCCTCTGAAATCCACGGTGGCTTGTTCGAGCGCCGGAACTCTCCGGCAAAGCATGGCTACGGGTTCGCAATGCTTTTCTTCCAGACCAGAATCTTGCGAGTCGTCGGAATTAGGATCGCTCGTTGTGGTTTCGTTCTACAAATTCGCTAATTTTCCTGACCATGCGGAAATTGGTATGCAGTTTCTTCTATCTCAATCAAATTGTGGATATTTAGTGTTTTTCTAATACAAAAGGCTAATTCTTTTTCTCAATCTTACCGAGCAAGAACAAATGGTTTAGATTTGAAGGAATAATAGAAAGGCTTGTGTTGTTTCATTAGCGTGTTTCAGGTGGAATCATTATTGCACCAGAAGGTATCAATGGAAGTATATGTGGGATTCGTGAATCAGTGGAGAGAGTGTTGTCATTCATACAGAGGGATGTCAGATTGAATGGTTTGAGGCAAGTGGAAACACCTGTGAGTCCTGAACAAGAAGCAATACACCATGGACATAGCAGTAGCTCTCCTCTTGCAGCTGGTGAAGATGCTCCGTTTAGATGGGACCATGTCAGGGTCAAATTCAAGAAATAGGTACACTCTCGTCTCTCTAGTTAAGAGGCTCTTGCTGGACATTTGTAGGTGGTTAAGAGTTGTTTGCTTTTGTAATGTCTGTTGTGCAGATTGTTAAGGTCAGAATGCCCAGTGTTTCGTCGATTGAAAGAGTTGGAACATATGTGAGCCCTGAGGAATGGAATGAATTGATCATTGATCCAGAAACTGTGAGATCTCTTTTTACTATCTTGTTTCAAGTTTAGTCAAGAACAAAGTGAATTTTGAATAACATTTAATAACTGTTTCTACACTTTGGACGCCAATCACTTTACTATATATGCTTCCGTGTTTGTGTCGCCTGCTTTTAAGTCTGCTTCACTCTGATTCGAGAAACTCTTGGTAAAATGTTATAGTCAGTAGATCTATGATAAATCTTTGAAATTGTCAAATTACTTTTCATAGCAGGTAGTGATTGATGTGCGAACTACCTATGAGACCCAAATTGGGAAGTTTAAAGGAGCTGTAGATCCATGTACCATAGCTTTCAAAAATTTTCCATCTTGGGTGGAGAATCAATTTACATTGAAGCAAGACAGTAATGAAACGCAAGCAAAGGTGGAGAAAGAGGATTTTTGTGAAAATACCGACAAAGAAGACAAAGCTGAAAAACCGAAGACCCTGCCATGGATTGCTATGTACTGCACTGGAGGAATCAGATGTGAGAAAGCTTCAAGCTTTCTTCTAAACCAAGGTTTCGAAGAGGTAACCTAATATAATATCATCCATTGAGCTGTGAGTTTTAGGTCTACTTAAAGACCAAACATTTTCTCACCAGGTATATCATCTGAAAGGTGGGATATTGAATTATCTTGAGGAAGTCCCTAAAACAGAGAGTTTGTGGGAAGGCGAATGCTTTGTGTTCGACAAGCGTGTATCTGTGGAAAGCAGCCTATAAGTGATGAAGACATGGAAGCACCAGAGTATGAGTATGGAGTTTCATGTCCTTACTGTTTCTCCAAGAAATCCGAAGAAGAGAAAGAAAGAGCTAGAGCGAGACAGACGCAGTTTGAGGAATGGGGAGTAATCGGTGGTCTTTTCCTCAATCTTTTTGACTTAAGAGTGCTTAGATTTGAAGCAGTAATTGACTCAATCTTTCCTCAATCTTGTTCTTGTTTTTTATCAGTGTGTTTCAGGTGGAATTATTCTTGCACCAGAACTATCCGGCAATAA